ATACTGTGTCCTGTAATTTTTATCTGTTAGAACGTACTTATTTTTTACAATATCCATAGTAGTGGGGGGTTTCCATCCCAGACTCACTCTGCAGTCCAGGCTAACATGGTTTGTGCAGTGTGTAGGATGTGACTCTTGCACATTGTTTCCTTCAGCTGTACACTGGGAAGCCTGTAGAAAAAAGATCAGTATTTAAGCTCATGTTCCACATCAAAGGCAGTGCCAGATGTGGTGCCAATAACATTATGACACAGAATAGCATTGAGGATGGTGCTATTTTGGGATCCTCATGTTGGGGGAAGCAATGTCGAAGTGAAACACTACAGATATTTTACTGGAAAATCAGGAGAAGCAAGATGTTTGGAGTTTGTTTCCAACATGTAACTTTAAGACCTGCCAGGTTTCTTGCATTTATCTCCTGACCTCACCTTTGCTGGGCATCTCTTTAGCACCTCAGAGAGCCCCAGTGCTTTCCAAGTGTGGGGAACAGGGAAGGATGAAAGCAGAAGCCCAGTATCCAAAGCTAAGTAAGAAATTCCAGTATCTTACTACCTGATGCATGGATTGGATGCTGGGTCAAGCCAGTTCAGCTCCCCAAAGATGGCGAGGTAAAGAAATAAAGGTCTAATCTAAAGCATGATGAAGTCAATCTATGCCCTTATTTAACTGGAAAGGGTTTTGGATGAGGCCCAGCCTTCCTTCACAAGTGGTGGCAACCAGAGAGAGCTGTGATTCTGGAATGCATCAAGGATCCTGGAAAGACCGATGTCTTTCCAACTTGTACACTACCTTGGAGTAGGTACTGCCATTTTCATGCTCATATCTAGCAGAATTCCATCCTGTGATTTGCTTTTAATATACCAAAAGAGCTATTGGACCAATTATTTTCCTTTATTGACTGTAATTAGAAAGCCTGCAGAAATCTAGGATCACCTGGCCCAGAAGTTAGCAAGCTCCTGTTCCATTTTCACAGGAGGTCATGAGATGCCATCTCCTTCCCATGAAGCATTTTACAGAATGCTCAGTAACAACTTTAAGGGTAAGGTTTTAATCTTGTTTGCCTTTTTTTAATGCTCTGCTTCTATTGGGCAACCAGGAATCTTGGTCCCTTGGGAGATGTTAAACCACCTTCCTTTGGATGCTGCTCCAGAAAGTGGTTTCCATGAGAATGATTGTGGAGCCAATTTTGTATTTCATTTTTGTTTTCACTCTTCAGGATAAAGTTTCTACATAGTGTCCTGGCCAAAGCTGACTTGATTTTAGTTCATAACTTGAACAAGAACTATTCCATTTATTTTTTGGATATATTAAAAAAACATGCATTTACTCCTAGGATGTGGACAAAGTTCCTGTACTTTTTAACAGCTACACGGCTAAAAAAGCAGAGGTACAAATTTAGTATGCACATGTCCTTTCTGAGATTTGTTCTGCCATCAGTCACCAAGAGTAAGATAATAGGATCCTTGTGTTTACAAGGACTTATGAGATGCCCACCACCACATGAACTGGCATTACTCTTGTGTAATTTTATAGATTTTCAAAATGCATCTGTAGGAACTTTTTTAGTAGGGAAGGAAAGGATCTGATTGAACTGCACTTCTTTTTGGACTAGTAAATTGTTATGTCAGTTATAGAAGCTGAGGAAGGGTTCCTCTGCTTGGAAGGTTCCTCTGTTTGACTTGGGCAGGTTCAGGTACTTGAAGGAAGACTTCTCTGGGAGCTTGCAGGGACCAGCTGCTTGAGGAGCCTCCTCTGTGGAGCAGGTACTGCGTGGAAAAGCTTCTCTCCCAGGCAGGAGTGGACACAAGCCTGTCAAAAAAACCAGGGGCAGTGAGCCAGGTTGTTTTTAAGAAAACAAAGTTATGCAATATCATTTAGTTCTGACATGTTCCCAATATGCAGCAAATGAAGAACTCACTAAATACAGTATATCTCTGGCCATATCATTTGAATAAAACTTGTTTCCATGACAACCTCTGCTTAACAGCTTGGCTGATATGAAATCATTCCTAGATGAGGGAGCTTTTGCCAAAAGCATTGGGATTCAGCACTTTAATATTGTGTTTTAGGGTTTAAAAAAACATTTATTTAAGCCTCTGGAAGCAAATATCAACTAAAATCCCTTCATCCTCACCTCTGTTTCAGCTTTCAGATGATCAGTTTATCTTCCTGGGAACCTCTCAGGAGCAGCTCCTGTGTTACTTAATATGCTTCTGAAGTCCCAGGCAGTGTTTCAAGAGCAAGTGATCGTGACACCAGCATTTGGTAGAGAAATTACATTTCATGGCTGTTGGCTCAGGCTGTGAGGCAGCAGCAGCAGCAGCAGCTGGGCACAGCAGCCAAGGCTTGTGCTCCAGCCATGCCTCAAGTCCAGGAAGGTTTATGTTCCAACCAGCTCTGCCCCAGAGTGAAAAAGAGGATCTTCAGCTGCAGAGAGGTCTAGCTAAGGTTGCATACCATTCATTTTTTGTCAGCAGCACTGAACAAAGCCAGGTGATGTCTTAGATGTTTTTTAAGGTGTGGTACCTGTCGCCTCAGCTGTGGAACACTCCCAGGGTGGAAATGCACTGTGGCTGCTCATATGGTGCTTGTTCCCTTCCTCCCTTCCAGGTGCTACACTATTAGAATATAGCTAAAATAAGCCTCATGCTTGCCTAATATTTCTTATGTATGCAGGCATTGCAGTTGCCACAGTGATGGTGCACAACTGTCAGCAGGGGAAAGGAAGGTCCTGATGGTTTTGAGAGGCATTCTGCCCCCTCAAAACACCATTGTATTGTAGCAGGGGGATTTCCTGCACCATCTGGGAGCAGGGACTACAGCAAAATCTCCTGGAACAGGCAAATAATGTTTCAAGCACAGTAATGTACCCATTGCTGTCAAGATTTTGGGATCAGCAAGGATTATAAGGGTAGGGATTTAAATCTTAAATAAAACCATGGAAAGGGGTATGAAGTATTTATTGTTTCTTCTGGCTATAATGTGACTTCTTCAGCTCTAATTCATCCCAGCATGGGACAACTTGGGCCTTTGTGTGGCAAAAAGGTTCAGGTGCCTGAAAATGGGTGCAGACAAGCAGTGCTATGAGCACATGATAGGGGGCAGAGCAATATTCCCCACTCCAGTTTGTTGGGTTTTTTTTCCTCCCCAGTTGTTACCTGGGTAAATTTCAGCTGTTAGCCATTGGAAATGAGCTGAGGTAATCTACCAGCTGACTCCTGCTCTCTGCCCCACAGTCCTGCTTTTTAAGGCCTTAGCAGAAAATTAGCAGCTTACCTGGAGAGCCCTGCAAGGGAAAGGAAGATGTGGCTGGGAGGAGGGGTGAGGAATGGAGCCACAAGTCCCTTCTGTGGTGGTGACCTTTAAGCAACTCATCTCTGCACTATAACACAGGTTGCTTCTGATAAAGCTGCTTGAGGAGGTACAAGAGCCCAGGAGGCATCACCAGGGTTTCCTTAAAAAAAAAACCCCTTCCAAATATGTATCAAACACTGATAAAAAGCATTTTTAATTCAAGTCCTATAAATACCTCTCTGAAAGCAGTAATAACTTCCTGGGATTTTTAATCTCTGAAATGATTTCACTCAAGGTGTGCTGGCAGCATGAGGTAGCTGAGCAGAATCAGGATGCTGTACTCGTGATCATTTTTCCTTCTGAGATTCATCTCAGGAGACTCTTTTTTTCCTCTGTGTCACGACTTCTTAGAAGTCTCTGTAGGCAAAGGATGCATTAATTTGATGCATCCTGTGATTGCCCTTCCTCCACAACCAAATTAATTTACTCTTAGTTGAGATTCCCACAACGTTCCTTGTGCCACTGTGAAACCTGGTATTTACTGATGTAAATAAGAAATAAATGGAGGCTTTACATATCTCATTTGGAATAATGATACAGGCTGTGCCTCCTGGCTTTCACTCTGTGTCTCAGAGGTGTGGGGGTTTTATTTCTATAGTGTTCCTTGCAGCCCAGGTTGTTTATAACAGAATGATTTGCTTTCAGCATGAGCTGTAATGTTTTAACTGATGAGCAGTTCCCTCTTAATGGAATCTGGAGGTTTTCACTGAAGCGTGTGGTTCCATCAGAGGCAGGTGCTGGATTCAATGTTAGTTTTTGTAATGCAGCCTGGTGGGGTTGGCCTTATTTCCAGAGTGATGCTGCTACATATCCAAAATTTATACTGTGTTGGAAACCTCAGCAGAGGACACCAAAAATGTGTTAGGGGTGGAGAGTGACACTGGCAGTCATGGAGGTAAGATGTGGCCCTTTTGGGTCATAAGAAATTAGCACTCTCCTCCTCCCCTCCTGTCTTTTCCAGCTCTTCTAAGAAAATCTGTGCCTAGGTACAGACATTTATTGTAGGGCTTTTTTCAGGATTAACATTTTTGGTGGGCTCATCATTAAAATAGAGAAAAAATACTGAGAGTGGGCATACCAATGAATTTTTAGATTCCAAGCTCTCCCAAATGGTCATTATCTTGCCTTCTATTTAAAGAGGAATAAATTAAATTGCAAGAGATGGTGCAACTGGTTTTGCAGATCTTATTTAATTTGGACTTAATTTACATTTTCCATCTGTACAACATAATCATTAACTTTTTGTGTTTCTTCATTGTCACTGTGAAGACTGCTTTTTATGGGTAAACTCTGCCCTTCCTTACCGTTAGATTTTTATTTCTTTAAAGGAGTGTGTCTTTATTGATTTTTCTTTTAGGATGAAGTATATATAAAATTATTCATCCTACTGAATGTGCCTGCAAAGAAATCTATGTGATTCATGGTCTTTGATCCTGTTATCATTTATGTGGGTGTTTAACTTTACTACTGTGCACAGTCCCAATGGGGAGAATCTTAATTTAAAAAGTACTATTCTAAAAATAATGTGAGGGGGTTTGCACATGTCCATGTTCCATTGTGAGGAACATCTCCCTGTAAAACCAGTGGGCTGGAGAGAAGATGGGAAAGCAGAGAAATTATTATCCCCCAGGTCTGGAAAGGTTCATTGTTGCACTGTCCCCATCCATGGCCAGTCTGCACAGTAGCCATCCCTTCCTTGTGTGAATGGAGAAAATGTTTTGTCTTAGAACTTGGGGTTTTAGAAAGATTTAGTGGTTTGGTCAGCATTGCCAAACCAAACTGAGCACAAGGGTTATTTTGAGCAGTAAGGCAGCCCCAGAGACACGCCAGCTCTGTGGTGTGACCTGTGGATGTGCAGAGAAGGGGCTGCCAGCAGCGTGTGTGACCGTGCAAGGGTTTTGTGTCCTAAAAGTGGGAGTTCTGGGCAGATTTAGTGTTTTGGCCAGCATTGCCAAGCCAAACTGAGCACGAAGATTATTTTGAGCAGCAAGGCAGCCCCAGAGACACGCCAGGTGTGCGGTGTGACTGTGTATGTGCAGAGAAGGGGCTGCCAGCAGCACTGTGGTGCAGGGGGTGGCACCGGGTACCCCTCGTGGCTTGTTGTAAAGGTCTCAGGAGGAAGATCAGCGATTCCCTTCAGCTGTGCCCCGCAGGAGAGGCAGTAACGGGATGGAGCGAGCTCCTGTGCCCCTTTGGGGAGCCACCCACGCTCTCCAATGGTCCCTCGGCCACGTCCATCTCTGGCATCACCCTGCCCCTTTCCTGTGTGTCCTTCTCATCGCACTTTGTCCCCGTCTGTCTGTGCCTGCCCTGCCTCTCTCCCAAGCCCGAGTCCCGCTTGCCCCCTTCTGGCAGCGTCCCTTGTCCCCTCCCCGCGCCCCGCCCGGGGAGATGGCGCTCAGCCCCCCCGAGCGGGACGCGCCGGGGCTGCCGCTGCACTCGCCATGGACCTTCTGGCTGGACAAGTGAGTGGAGCCGGGGGCGGCGGGAGATGGGGAAAAACCCCAAATCCGCCTAGGAAGGGATGCGCGTCTCTGGGATTATCGGTTCGCTCGTCCAAAGATGGGATGCGGGAAGTTAACGCTGGGCTGCGAATGGGAAACGTCCCGGTGCCCATCGAGGCGGTCGGGAGCGGCTCCGCGCGGTGAAACTGCTTTGGAAACGCTTTTGGTTCTGTAGTTCGGCGGCCACAGGTTGGTCCAGGCACCGTCGGTGCAGGTTTGAGGTCTGAATTTAGAGATGACGCTCGCCAGCCCCGGGAATGGAAGGGTGGAGGTTGTGCTTTGCTGCTGTGGTTTGTGCCCGGCTGCCCCAGACGGAGCCGGTCCCACCGCCCGTGCCATTACAACTCTTTAATGTCAGGTTTGGCTCCCGCAGGTGATCAGCTCTTAAAATCCGAGTTGATACGTTTTGAAGGATTAGCTAAGTTTATTAATTACCTGCAGGTTGTTATTGCACTGCGTTTGCTTGAAGTTTGAGCCGCTAATGCCGCGGAGAGAGGCTGCCAAGGGAGCTCACCCCTGTGGTGCACTCAGCGAGGGATAGGGAAGAAGTGCCAAAGTGAAAACTGAAAGTTTCTTACCAGCATTTGGTGTTGTTTTCCTAGCATGTATTTTCTAGCATCTTGTTATTTAATCTACAGCTTCCTTTTCTCAATTTTTTGGTGTATTCTCCTTTCTCCCCACTCCAGAAGGCAAGTTTATCAGCTTTTCTGCAACTGAGTATACTTCCCCATGCTATTGGTAAAATTCTCCTCTTTAGTTATTTTTCTGGTAACTTTCTGACTCATGACAGAGAAATAAGAAGGAACTGTTGAAAACTCAGGTCCAGCAAATCAAATATAATAAATAAACCCACCAATTATTTCTCATTATTCCTTTTGCAGTTGTGACGCAGTTATGGTCAGGTTTGGGATCTAAGATGAATTTTTGCTTCTTTGTTTTTAAAAAGCATCATTTGAACTGGTGTTTAATCAAGTCACTAAGCAGGTCTGTTTGTTTACATAAGCCATGTGGAGATAAGCATGTCTATTTTTTATAACCAGTGTCAGCAGTTAAAATCCATTTTGAGTTCCTGAATCCTCTCATTTCTTTTTCTTAAGTCTTATTTTCACAATGCTTTAGACACTTAAAATTCAGTTATTCTACCGATTTTTGTTTTTACTTTTCAGATCACATGTAAATGCATTTAATTAGTACTATTGTTTCTTAACTTATAAATCCAAGAGTGTGTATATAAGAAAAAAAAAAGGGGGACCATAAATACACAAAACTGTATTTTGTTTACCAGTAACTGGGATAGAATAGATAGATACCATTTTTTGGCACATCCACAGAGATTTGATGGAGGCTTAGCTTGTATCAGTTGGGCTTTCTGTAGAATATAACTGTGGGCACTTTTTAAACCAACTTCAGTAGTACCTACTGTGGAGCAGTGCTGTTTCCTCAGGAGATGGTATTGATTTCTGACTGCTGCTACATTTTACCCTGTACTTGCAGAGAAAAGCAGGAAGAAGTGACGCTTAAGGATAAATAGATGTTGAGATGGATACATAGTTATCTCTTTCTATTAAATTACTGTGAGAGAGATCCATGACAGACAATTTTAAGATCTCTAAAACATATCTTTTCATTAAGTCATGCTGTTAAAATAAATATCCATCAGCTAAATGGTACTTTCTGTAGCAAGTAGTGATGTGCTACCCTTGGGGTTCATGGCCTTGCTTTTATCATAGCAGCACTGGATCCATCTCCTGCTTTAGAAGTGAATGCCTTTATTTTATCTACATCAGCACTTGTTTCTGTGAATGCCTTGGCACAGGCTGAACATCTGGAGGCTGGCATCCTGTGGCCAGGTCCTGGTTCATTGCCATCATCCCACACGTGTCACTTTTCCTGTTAGTGCTAAGCCTTTCTTGGTATCTGTGTCTGAAATAGCAACCATCTGATAGTGCTCTCTGCTATCTTACCCCGTAAATGCCTTAGGAAAATGAGCACGATGAAAGCTTTGGGGGAATATTATTCACCAGTTTGACAAAAAAAGATCCTATCTGTGATCTTGAAATGCTTGCAGGTTTGCAGTTCCAAAGAAGGTGCAGAGAAACTGGCAGGTGTTTTCCTCCTAAGACAAATGAGATGTCCTTTTTAAAATGTTCCAAGGTCAAGTGCTAGAAGTTTGGAAAACATGAGTTTAGATTTGCTGTTTATTTTGTCCATCGTACAGATTTCCAAGTTCATACCCACATGTCTCATAGGTAGGATTCTTGCCTGCAGGGATGTTAGGGAGCAGGGGGAATTTCAGTAAGGCTTGCAGGAGCTTTTGGTGCCACCTTGGGAAACTGATTCATGCTGGTGGCTCTTTACAGTTGTGCTTATTTCAGGAAGACTCTGGTTCTGCTTGTAGTATCTTCTCACTCTGAAAGGAAAGGTTGCCTTCTTAGGTTTTCTACATGATATAGTCTTTCAGTTATTTTTTATAATGAAGTGTCAATATGTATCACTAAATAAAATATGAGCATTACCAATCTGGTCACTATATTGTGTAGCACACAACACTGAATTTCACAAAAGGAAAAGTCAAGTGACATGACCATCAAAGACTGGGCTGTCCTGGATAACAAGCCACCTTATGCACTTGAAACCATCCCTTAATGGGATTTGGGGCTGTGGATCTGGGTGTGATATTTGTGTAAATACAAAGCTGTGAAGATGGTTACTTTTTTTGATGCAAATATCCTACTTGATAAACCTTGCAAAACCCAACTGTCACTTAGCCTGGGTATCACATAGTGTGGTTTAACCCCAGACAAAACCCAAGCACCACACAGGTGCTCGCTCACTCCCCCACCAGCGGGATTGGGGAGAGAATTAGAAGGGTAAAAGCTGGAAAAGCTGTAGGCTGAGATAATGACAGTTTAATAGGGAAAGCAAAAGCTGCACACGCAGGCAAAGCAAAACAAGGAATTAATTCACTGCTTCCCATGGGCAGGCAGGTGTTCAGCCACCTCCAGGAGAGCAGGGTTCCATCCTGCGTGACTGGGGAAGACAAACACCATCACTCCAAAAATCTCCCCTTCCTCCTCCTTCCCCCACTTTATGTACTGAGCACGATGTCAGATGCTCTGGAATATCCCTTGGGTCAGCTGGGGTCAGCTGTCCTGGCTGTGTCTCCTCCCAGTTTCCCATCATTTTGCAGGATCATGGCTTGCTTGCCCTGTTTTCTCGCCAGACTTCGAACAATGCCCTTTAGATAACCTTAATTCTCTTGCAGGAATAGTTTAACTCCTCAGTATCTTTGTGAGGGGAAGCATGTGCATATAAACATTGTCAAATAAGCAGTGTCATTTGTCTGCTCCGGGAAAGACAAAATATTCTTACATAAGGTATTGTCCTTGTGTGCTGATTATTCTCTCTGTATGTTGTAGATGAATTCTATACAAAGCTGAGTAGATACATTTTGATAACTGAACCATTTTAATAATGTGTTAATCTTCCTAACTGAACACATCAGATATTTGAAACTAAACTTAATAATTTCCCTTCTTCCCTATAGCAAAATTTATTTATCTAGATTTACCTCAGGTTTTGCCTGTTTGTGTTCCGTTCTACATGAAACAAAGTGTCATAGAGAGGTGCTAGTATAGTTAGCAAGAAAAAAACAAGGGGTCGTTGGTTGTGAAATCATCTATTTCATCTATTTCATCTATTACAGCTTATGAGTAGGTGGCTTACAATGAAAAATGATGGTTAATATTATAAGAATGTTCAATCCAGTAAGTGCATTTTGACAGGCTTTGATGGCTTGAAATCAGTCTTTGTATTCAGAATGGATTACCAGATTTATTTAGTTGCCACAGCATGTTTTTGACTTTATGCTTTGTAAGTAAATATTTTGCTTATTTATACCAAAAGCAGTTGTGGCTAAGCACTTACAGGGGTATTTTCAAAACTGCTTGGCAGCTTTTAAAGCTTCCACTAAAACTGTGATGAGATTCCCACTGGGAAACAAAGGCCAGTGTGAGCACATATGAAACAACTTCTATACTTAATTCTTTGCAGAAAAACAGAAAAGCTACAGTTCAGCATCAGAAATTAACATAAGCACAACCACCTGGAGGTTTATTCATGGCTAAAACAATGGAATTTATCTTTGTATCCTTTGTTCTTTATTCGTGCTGGAATAATGAAGGGATAGCAAAGAAAGCTGGCATTAGGATTCATTTTGTGGAGATTATTCCTCTTTCCACGTTCCTGTGTATTCACCATGAGATGCTGTACAGTAGGTCTGACCTGATTAGGCAACTTAATTAGTCCAGATAATGCACTAAATTTTCTCCTATAAAGGCTCTGATGATGCAGTGGCATCAAAGGGCATGAAACAGGCACACCAGGAGAAGCACAGAAATATTTTATGTGCAGACTCTCCATGGGAAACCCAGATGCATAATTGTAGGTGAAGTGGTGACAGAAGAACTATTTCCACCCCCAGAGGATCTGTCAGTGCCAGGCTGGTGCCGTGATCCAGCTCCTTCCTGTTCCTGTGCTCATGGGGATTAGCAGGGCCTGTTGAGTTCTTGGAAATGAGTTGTTCACCATGGCAATAACTGACAGGTCAGTAGGGCATATTGGATGAATTGTATTGTTGATGGCAGTATTATCTGGATGGGAAGAATCCGATAATGGCTTCATTTTGAGGGTCAATATTTGCAGAGTCTTGTTTTGTAGTACCACGTGGACTGAGGTTTTTAGTAAAGTACACAACCCTCTCACTACTCCTACCTTAAAGTGCAAGTTTTTGTTGGGGAGTTAGGAATTAGAAATAGGAATATTTGAAATAGGAATTTCTACAGATTCTTTCTCTTGAAAATAATCTGTCATTTCTGCTAACTTAATTTAAACTGAACTTAAAATGTGTACTCAACTAAAAAGAAAATAAATCCCAATTTCATGGGTTTTAAGGCACAAAACTTCTGAGCGGTTATCTACATGGATCTGCTGAGTTTCTGGGTGAAACAGAAACACTACAGTTCAGATTTGTCAGCAGTCTGGAATTTTGCAGGAAATTCAAGGCTTTTTTTCTTCTGTCTATCTGAATTAAAATACTGTCCCTGCCTTATACTGATACATTAAACCAAATTTGTGCAGGTGTAAATTCTGGAGCAAATGATCCTGAACTTTTAAATTGATGCATCATCATTTTTTCAATTATGGTACTTTAGTAGGATTTTGATTGTTTGTTTTTCAGATAAAAACCCTTGGGTGTTCATGTTCATATCCATAAGTGACTTGCACTTTCCAGAGCTGAATGAAAGGCTGAAATAACACTGTAATCTGGTGGGTCTGGAGCACTTACCAGGCAGGTTACTAGGAATAAATGGTCACTCACTATAACTTTTAAAATAGGTAATTTTCTGGTTGGTTGGTGCTTTCTGCCAGCTGACCACAGTTTCTCTGGAAAACATTATTTGCAACTATCAAAATGAACCATTTTATAACCTTGGAGTGGTATATTCTGTCTACATGTCCTAGCTGCTCTTTTAAATGGCATTTAATTTGCTAAATGGCCACCATGATGATTTAGGCAACCTTTGAAGGCTATGGCTAGAGAATACATTTTAATCTTTTATTTCAGTAGGCCTTACTATTGAAGCAACTCAGTGGCACAATCAGCACGAGGATATCAAGTGATGATAGTATCTGATGTACAGCATATGTAATGCCAGATGCCTTGGTGGCTGAGTGGTAGAAATAGTCCAGAAGAGAAGTAATTTCTTGGGCAGAGGGGTGAGACAAAAAGAGGCAAAATTTACCTCAGGTTTTGCCTGTTTGTGTTCCATTCTACATGAAACAAAGTGTCAGTAGAGAGGTGCTAGTATGTTTAGCAAGAAAAGAACAAGGGGTCGTTGGTTGTGAATCCACTACTCTCTGCTGACAAACAGTTAAATGATTTGTTAAGCTTTAAAGTCTGAACTTACTTATCTTTTTTGTGTGCTTTCTAAAGTAATCTGACTGGCTGTGTTTCTGGAAAATACTGTGAATTTCTCTTTTTGCTTTTTAATGCTGAGTGTACAGTGTACATAAAAACGCCAAAACACACACACCAAAAAAACCCCAGACCTCCAAACCTTACTATGATAATTCCTTTTATCATGTTGATGACAGGAACAAGGGGTCGTTGGTTGTGAATCCACTACTCTCTGCTGACAAACAGTTAAATGATTTGTTAAGCTTTAAAGTCTGAACTTACTACCTTTTTGTGTGCTTTCAAAAGTAATGTGACTGGCTCTGTTTCTGTAAAATATTGTGAATTTCTCTTTTTGCTCTTTAATGCTGAGTGTAAAGTGTACATAAAAGCACCAAAACACACACAGGAAAAAAACCCAGACCTCCAAACCTTACTATGATAATTCCTTTTATCATGTTGATGACAGAATTTTTTTGTTGCTGGTTTTAAGTTATCAGTTTTTTCATGGGAGCTCTCACAGTTCATGAGCCACAGGACTACCAGCTGTGCCATGGTGATTTCTTGTTGATTTTTTTGTTTGTTTCCTGCCAGTTCCACCACGGTAATGTGCTCTTAGTTCGGGTAATTAACAGGCAAATAGGAAAGCAGATGTGAGTTTGCCTGTTTTATACAGAAAAACTTGGGAGGTATTTTTCTCCTGGTTTTGTATGTATTTTTAAAGCAGCTTATTTTAATAGGAGCCTTGAAAAAACCTTAGAGCTATTATTAGACTTTTGAAGATGTGATGCTGTTTCAGTAGTTTTGCATATTAAATTTCTTCCTCTACATGAATATCTGGGGTTTGCCCAGAGCTTCAATTATCTGTGTAACAACTGAGAGTAACTTCAGTGTTTCCCTGGACGTATTTCATGCTGATCAGATGTATCAGGGAGGGATGCTGAGATCTGGTTTGCTTTTATCCTTTCTTCAGCTGGTACCCGAGCAACAGCTGCGTTTTCTTCTGTTTCCTTAAACCTGCTCTCTTGCTTCTGTTTCCAGATTTAGTAATTTTACACATTTTTGTTTCCTCTTCTGAGACACAATGGGAGGTTGCTTTTGTCTTTGATCTTCGTTTTTCTTTAGAAATCCTACTTCAGCTTCTGAAGGGAAAGAAAAATGTTTCTAGTTCTAAGAAATTGAATGTGCCTTAGCAATTTTGACCTCATTCCCCCAGAATTGTGCCTGTGGGATTGTGTGCTGGGAATTGTAAGGTGGGTGTTAGGATGTTAATGCAGTGACAGGAACACAGGGATTTCTGGGGGTGTGGGATGCACCATCCCATGTCTCACGCACTGAAGAGTCATGGAAAAGATTATAAACAGAACCATTTATGTTGGAAAAGACCTTTCAGATGATGGGATGAAGCTGGTGCTGTGTGTGCCTAAAGAATCACAGAATATCCTGAGCTGGAGGGGACCCATGAGGATCACTGAGTCCAGCTCCTGGCTCTGCACAGGACTGTCCCCAAGGGGCACACCCTGTGCTTGAGAACATTGTCCAAGTGCTCTGCAGCTCTGACAGTGACCATGGGACTGTGATCATTCCCTGGGGAGCCTGTTTAGTACCACGCCATCCTCTGGGGGAAGAACCTTTTTCTGATTTCCAGCCCAAAGCTCCCCTGGCACAGCTCCAGCCATTCCCTTGGGTCCTGTCAGTGGTCACCACAGAGATCAGTCCCTGTGCTTCCCCTCCTGAGGAACTTGTAGACTGCAACAAAATCTCCCCTCAGTCTCCTCCAGGCCGAAGTGACCTCAACCACTCCTCTTATGGCTTCCCCTGAAGGCCCCTGAGGGAGAGAGGCCGCTCCAGGTGGGAGCTGGTGATGGCCAGCATGAGGGTGAGCTGCAGAAGCTGAACCACGCCTGGTGTACCAGGGTGTGAGGCAGTGAGACCAGCCCAAGGATGCCTCACTGGGTGCCCAAAGATCTCTTGGCTTTACAGGGCGTGCTGATGGCAAGTGTGGCTTGAAGGCATCAGTGCCGGCGGTGGAAGAGCTGCCTGCAGTCATGGAGGCTCCCTGGGTGCGTTGGGTGCCACAGACCTGTGGGACTTTGCTTCTCCTCAGCCCGTGTGCGTGTCCCACCCTTCAGCGGCAGCGAGGCGGGTGTGACCGCTGCTGAGGGCGGCGCGGCGCTGAGGGAAGGTGCAGCCGCCCCGCCGTGCCCGCGCCCCGCCGTGCCCGCGCCCCGCCGTGCCCGCCTGCCCGCCGGCTGTGCGCCTGCGCCACCTAGCGGCCCGCTGTGAGGGCCCGGCAGCCCGCGGTGTGCGGATGAGTTTCTTTTTCAAAGTGTGAAACACAGGCAGCGCCTTAAAATGCTAAAAACAGGGGCTGGGGTGTATTAAATGCGATTGAAGATAATTCCGGGGTAGGATCATGCGGTCCGCTTCTGTGAACAGCAGAGCTTTGATGGTGTGTGGTAGCTCTGAGAGTGGCACTGTGCTGTTTGGCTAAAACTCCTGATACTTCTGTTTAGTTTTACGAATTACTTGGCAAATATTAATTTATTCGCAAGTATTAAACAACTCTAACATCTGTCTTTAAATGATTCGTGATAATTTGGAGCTGGACTTCCCCTTTGACATGTGAACATTTCAACTTCACACTCACACAATTCACATTCCCTATCTCCCTTCTCCCCCTCCTTGATAAAATAAATATTTTAATTAATCAGTGCTTTGTCTTCAAGGTCACTTCCTGGTACAACAGCAGCTGAATGTGCATTAAATTTGAAGAAGATATATACAGTACAAACAGTGCAGGTAAGGCTCCTGGCTCTGCTGCAGGAGCTGCCACATGTTATTAATGTGAGAAATTAATGTAACTTCACACCTCAAGTTTCATTTTTCCTCCTAGGATGAGTTACACCTGTGGCTTTGCTTACCTGAGGTGTGAAACGTGAGTGGTTCTGGTGTTGTGTGTTTGTATTACTGAGTCAGTGTTTGAATTTCACTTGGTTTTCTGGATGGGGAAAGGAGGAGGTGTATTGGATTGGGCACGTGGATTCTTAAACCTTCCTGAGTTTCTATTAGTACATTGAATATTTGATGTACTTTAAATATCTTTCCAGCCTTTTCTCCTTTTTCTAATACAGAAATTAATTGTGCAAAGGCTAAAAATTGCATCATGTGGATTTTTTTTTTGGTGGGCTTTCTCTCCTTGAGTATGTATCTAAAAAAATATTCTAGCAAACTGAATTAAAGGACCCTTAAACTGTGTAATACTTGCAGCAGTGAGAAATTCTGCATATCTGTGTCATCTGCCATTGCCCAGCAGTGGGTGTCTCTTGCAAATAAAATTATATTTCTGTTTTAATACCACAGTTAGCATGAAATGTGTAGCAAAGTGGCATTTGTCTCACCTTAGTGCTAAGGTGACTAGTTCACTAAATCTCTGAAATTTCTCTTTGAGAAGCACACCTGTAGCAATCTACTGAAGTTTTAAATAAGCCTTTCTCATGAAGGTCTGCACAACTTCCTACACTGCGTGAGAGTTCCAAACACAAAACCTTCCAAACCACATCCTTAGTTCAGGACAAAAAGAGCTCTCAAGTGTTTACACAGCCATGTACCAGTGTGCTCTCTGCTCCTTCTTTTGCAAATAGCTTTAGTGTTTGGGCTCACAACAATTTTAGAGTAAGATCATAGTCAAAACGGGTATTTCATACCAAGTTTTCATATTTTTAGTAGTCTTCAATTTCCTCTTGTGGCTGGGTAGAGGTAATGGCTGTTAGGCAGAGTTGCCAAGGGCCACAAAATTTTATCACATAATGTTGCAATCCTTGTTTCTAAAGTTGTACTAGTGATTAAGTATTAGATATTACTTAATGTATTAGATAATACTTACATATTATGTCTAGATAATACTTAATGAGTTACACTAATGATTAATATTGCATCACCACATGTTGATGCAACTTAAGTCTTTAAAAATCCTTTTATTCCCAGCTGTTGGATAAAGAGAGAAGAGATTGGGATCTTTTCAATCATCCCTCCCTGTTGCTCACCACTGCTTTTGGGTGCCTTTTTATCCACCCAAAACCTCCCTGATAGCTTCTGCTTTTACCAGCAGAAACATTGGGAAGTAATCCAAAGGTTCCTGGTAACTTGAATCTTTGAATTTCTCCCCCACTCTTGTGCATCTCAGGTTCTTTGCATCTGGTTGAAACCTTTCACTCAGACAAACTAGTTGGTTGCTGGTTAGACATTTAGTTCACCAGCATTATTGTTTGTGGTGTTTTTGTAGCTCAGGATAATCATAATGACACTTAGGCTAGTCTTAAGTGAAGCAAGGTGGATATTTGATATAAATGCATCTTTTAATATGCTAAGGAAATTTTATGTGCTGGTTTGTTCAGACATAGTCAGTATAACTCTGGTTTTGATGATTTTTTCCTTCTGGATTCAAAAGGATAATCTGCATTTGGACTGCTTCCATTTTTTCCACTTCTACATATGCAGGATTGGCAACTAAAAAAAATAAAAGTAGAAATGATTCTGTAAGAAGTTCCTTTCAGAGCATTTTATTATAACATAGAAGGTGCCCGTTCTCCAGGAGAAGGCTGTGTAATTGGTTCAGAGGAAATTAGCAAGGAAATAAATCTGCGTGCAACACTCTCCTGTGTTAATGCAACTAATATTTTTCCTTTTCAAGGATTTCTGGAGTGTCTACAACAACATTCCTCCCGTGACAAACCTGCCTCTGAGATGCAGCTACCATTTAATGCGGGGAGAAAGGCGCCCGCTTTGGTACGTGTGCTGTCATCAGACACTTCTGGGAACAGGCACTGGAATAACCTGAAGGAGTCAAAGGTGTGGGACAGGAGGGTCTTGTTTCTGTTGGCTGCAAACACCTGAACTCAAGAGACCAGTTAAAGAAATACCCCGAGGTCCTTGTTCAGTTTCAAAGTGACTTGTGCCAAAGAGTCTTTATTAAAGACTATAATTTCATTGTCCACCTCTGGACGTAAATGTACAAAAATAGATTATGAAATAGAAGCTGAGGAATTGGAATAGGACTCTGAATTTCAATTTAGGAATACACAGAATAAGTTATTTCTATTTGAATTTTTTTTTAGCTTGCACATTATTTTCTTTCCACTGAAGCTGGTGAAATACTGATGGAAAGAACTGATGGTCCCTCACTTCTTTTTCACCTGTGCAAAGGTACAGGTGAAGTCCATGCTTATACATGTCCATGCAACTTGGATCAAAAATAATTTAAGACATTTTGAGGTGATTCATTGCAGCAAATTCCTACTTGATTGTAGGATAGTAATGGAATAAAATATAAATAATTGATGTTTTCCTTTCAGAAATCAAACTTTGCACCCCTTCTTCCTGTTGCAGTTCTGTTGCATTTCAGAGAATCTCAGCACTTTCTGAAGAGTTTCGATCTTTTTGGCATTATTTACGTAGATTGTGATTTCATTAGGGTTCTTTAACTTAATCATAGTTGTCTAACTTTGTGGTGACTTACTACAGGAGATTTCTGTCCTAATCTACTGGAAATGTAAATTTTCTAAAGTGAAATGCATCTGAAAGTCTATGTTACTTTTCTGAAAATACTGTGACTTGTCAGGATAGTTAAAGTGGGTATGAAAAAACATTGGTAGCTGTATAAATCAACTGGACCATTGTGTCCAGGCCTTCATAGCTTTGTAAGGATGAATGAGAGCATTTAGGGGTTTGATTTTTTTGAGGCTTTAAAAAATATTTTTAGTTTTTATTTGTCAAGTGACTACTAGAGGTGTAAAATGCAAAGATCATTTCTGAAAATTAAACACTTTTTTAGGCCTATCAAAGTAATTTTGCATTTTAGGAAAGGGATTGCAAGAGATTGATCACATCATCAGTCATTTGCTAACTTGTCAATAATTACTGCCAAGAAGCTTTTGTCAGATTACCATTACAGTATCCTGGCCAATTTCAGCATTTTATATTTTTTTCTTTTAGAAAGAAAGAGAAATTCTGAAGTAAGAATTGAGGATGCAGATTTTTGAAGATGTCCTCCCAAAGTTTCCCCCTCTTTTCCCCAGCATCTGTCAGGATTGGTGGGAGACCATTGATCCTGAGGAATCTATAGGTATCACATTGGGTATAGATATTCCAAAGATGAATTTTTAAGTTATTCCTTTAATTTGGCCTTTACAGAGTCTTAACAAGAAACTAGAAGCCCTAATTTAAAGTCTTAGGAAAAGAATTGTGACAGAATAAACTTTGGAAGCTCACAGGTTAGTGCACTGTGCCTTTGTCATTACAAGGCAGTTTAATGGTTACATCTGCCCTGACCCGCAGCAGCTCCAGTCTTCTTTTAATAAGGGCAATTAATTTCTAGCTGTCACAGAACTGAAATGAAGTGTGCTCATGTTCTTTTATTAAACTGAATAAACCGAAGAGTAAAAAGCTGCTTCTGTGAAAATATGCCAGAGGTTTTCCAAAATTAAAGGTTACCATAGTAAAATGTAAAATTGTTTTGTGGCTTGTTCCCATGCAGTGTGCAGCCACTTCAAAGATGGTCTGTAGTCAGGGAAAATACAAGTGTTTTCCAACACACAAAACTTAGAAAAAGGATTAGGTGTTGAGAGATACACTTCATATGAACAATGAAAGGATTATCTCTGATGTCAGAAGTCAGAGTCATGCTGCCTGGAGTTAGTAATTGCATTTCAGATGGGATTTTTCTGGGAAAATTAAACCACAAACATAGGGTTATCTAGATGTGGATTTGAATGTGTATTTTCACTGATCTATTTCCCATAACAGGGAAGAAGAAAGCAATGCCAAAGGAGGTATATGGAAAATGAAGGTCCCTAAAGAAAGTACGGTATGTTACAGTGACGCTTTACTCAGACCTTGTTTAGTAAGGGAGTTTCTTTAAACTCTGTTTGATAAAGCTGTTGTAAAAGTTTTTACTTCTTACATCACCCAACACAACAACCAAACACTACTTTAACTTTCTTAACCTTTTAACGTCAAAGAGCAGAAGTTTACTTTCCAAAAATTACACATATCTTGCTTTAGATAACATTTGGCAATGTATTGTAAAAAATAATGAAAGCTGCAGTGTTTCAATTTGGAAACATGGTAATTTATAATCACCTTTGTTCACAAGACTGTTTGCTTATAGACATATAAAGAAAAATAGAAAGACCTTTTCCTCATAATCTGTGCTAAATTATATATTTTTTTCATTTAAAAGTGTGAAAGATGAAGTCTATTCAGGCATATCCTTGAGCTCCAATGAAATAACTGTGTTTCTCTTTGCCTCTCTAATCAAATGCATGTGAGTAACTTCTGTGAACTACCACAGAAAGGAGATTTGACCTCTTCACACATGGTGTTTATGTGTGTAAGTGTGCTCTGGATCAGGCCTTTAAACAGAAGAAGTGAAGTGTCAGAAAAATGTGACAGCCTTGCAGAAGGCATTAAATGCTGAAAGATGGTACTCAAAATTTCAGCCGAAAGTTAATTGATTTTTGCCTGTGGGCTTTTTCCTTGTATGTGAGTTGCAGCTTTCCTCCCCCGCAGTCCCAAGTGGTCACAAAAGACTGAAATTGAAATTGTCTTTTTCCTCCTATAATCCAAGGTGTGAAGATTGTCAGAAGTGACAAGTGGTTTGGAGAGGCTGAATTACTGGGCAGTGAATTTAGGGACCCCAGAGGCCTTGTTTTTCAGAGGCTGAATGACAGCCCCTTTTTGACATGAAGATACTTTTGATCTCTCAAGCTATGCACCACATGGCCTCAGTCACTTCTGAAAGGTTTGCTTGGAGGTGAACTTCAGCCAACTTTCAGTGCTTTGTAAACAGCATAAATAACACCTTTATGCCTGTTTCTCTCTCTTTTTTTTTTTTGCTTAATTCTTCACCAAACGTGGGCACAGCATCTCCTTGGCTAAGATGAAACATCTTGTACAGACCCAACATTTAATTATATAACACAGCATGCACTTAGAATAAATACTCCTTTTTGTCTAGACAACCTCAGAAAGGGAAGACACTCAAAACTGAGATAGAAATCCTAACTTTCAATTTAAGAAATAATAATGTGAATGTAATATTTTTCTGCCTCCTCAGGCTGAAGTTTGGAAAGAACTACTGCTAGCAACTATTGGAGAGCAGTTTACAGATTGTTGTGCAGCAGGTAATGATTGAGACATTTCTCCATCACTCTTTTCACCATATTTGCTTCTCTTCTAAGCATGAATATCTGATAAAAGTGGCTGTTACAGTGACAGTGGATATCCTGTTAGGAATTGTCTTTCCCTGGCTATCATTCCATGAAAAAGAATGGCCTTTCTCAAGTTTACAGAGCAGTTCAGAAATATCCTTTGAAATGGTCTCTCACATCATTTATACACTGATAGGATTGTCTTGGGGTCACTTTCAGCAAATATATGATATTCTGCTGTCCACAGAGGGGATTCTTGCCCTTGGCCTTGTGCTTCTGACACCACCTTTGTGTATTGTTGGTGACTCTTGGGATGCACAGAGCAGCTCTGCCATGGAGCTCACAGCTGGAGCAGCTCCCAGCTGTGGCATGGCCATTGAGCTCTCCACAAAGCTGCATCCTGAGAACTTCACACCAGAAAGGGCATCTTCAGTGCAGCACTGAGTTACCAGCACTGGCAGCAGCAGCAGCCTGACTGGGGCTTTATTAATTTCATTAATTTTGTTTTCTTTTTTCCTGTTGCTGCCTTGACAATATGTAAAGGAAAAAGAGAGCAAAGTCTGGAAAAGCTTGTGTCTGATCTTCACCAGGTACTTTTCCTGGGGTTTTAGTTGTTTCACCCTCATCCTCCCATTGCTGCTTGTAGACATCACTGTAGGTAAATTGTCTTTAGTAGTTCATATTGCTGACCTTACTGGAGGGAGTCTTGATTCCATTCTAATCAAGTCAAAGAGTGCTAATAGCAAAGATGAATAATCCTATGGCACTCCATAAAAAGCACCATGAGGTAATATTTCCAATAACTTCTTTCTGGTAACTGCTTTGTTTGGTTTGAACATTGGTATTTTCCTCACTGGAGATTGCTCTTTTTTTCACGTCTTTATTTTTTTTCCAGCTTTTGGGCACTGTTTCATAATACATAAGTAGCAAATTAGACATGTCTCACTTTTAAAGTATTCCTTGATGATTCTTCCTCTTCTATGCAGATGATGAAGTAATAGGGGTTAGTGTCAGTGTTCGTGACCGTGAAGATGTTGTGCAAGTCTGGAACATGAATTCCTCTTCAGCAAGTGAAGCAAAAGTTTTAGAAAAGATTCACAAACTTCTCCCACACACATATTTTAAAGCAGTCTTTTATAAATGTAAGTATTTTGTACAGTTCATTTGTACCTTCATTAGAATAACAAGATGCTGGTAGGGTATTTCTCTGGAAATATCCTGTCTGATTCATCATTAATCACTTAGGAATGTAGCATCTGACATTGCATTAAAATTATGTCCCTTCAGTGTAGAAGTTAGCTAAATACCTTTTGATAAGTAGTTTGATAAGAAGTTTGCTAAACATCTTTTGATATTTAAAATATCAAAAGATATTTTAAATTTCATTGTACAGTCTGTTTTGTTTCATGTTTAATGTGCCTGATTCACAAAACAAATTAAACAAATCTCTTTATAACTCTCAGGGCTACATACTGTCCAATTTAAGTATTAATTTAGAGGAACCATTTTCAATCAGGATTTTAAGGGCTCTCTTATTTTAGGCTCCCTATAAATGTATTATCAAACAGTTTATTCTGAAAGATCCCTTGTTAGCACATTTGTTCTCCCTTGACTGATTTATACATTTTTATCTTCTCTTTTTTTAATCTTTTCAACTCCTTGACAGAGTTTACATGTTCTTCTATTCCTTTTTTTTTCCTCCTCTCTTCCCTAGCCCACAGAGAGCATCATGCTTTTGAAGGCCGATGTGGAAAGCATTGAGTGCATTGTATGCCAAGATCACTTGTTGTTATTTGGTGTTTTGAGCTGGTCTGGACAAGGAGGAGGATGCTGGAAGCTCTGCAGAAGTGCTACGTGGCGTTGGCCCTTTTGAGTTTCTGACATTTCACACTGGCCCGTTGCTACTGAAAATGAAAAAACCCTGAACAGTTGCCTTGACCACTAAATACATGATTCATTGCTTCATGTTGAGGTGGTGCTTTTAGTTCTTAGTTGTTTCTCTAAAAAAATATTTTGGCCACTTGTTTGTTCACCCTGATTATATTTGTTCCCATTTCTTAAAGATAGTTGGCTTCTTCTTCTTCTGTGCTGTACTTAGTGAAAAGCAAACATGCAGAGATGCTATGCTGCTTTTCCAAGATGTGCTGTACATAGAGGGACCCTGGCTTGGGGAAATGTGTTTTCAATTTTCACTTTGAAACATTCCTATCATGTTAAAATTTACTCACTGGTTTGTCCCAAGAGAGAAAGAAATTGCACTGCATTTATTCTAATATTCAGTGTAATCTGGTCCTACACTGACAACAGCACATTGTAAATGTAATAGAAAAAGGTACCTTAAATGAGCAATTGAAGAGAACACATTTTTATTGGGACTAACTGTGTAGGATGATGTTAATGTCTTTCAATTGTATTGATTTCAGAAGAGCCCTTGTTCACTGTAGAATCAGAAATTTCTCTGTAGGACATCCTGCAAACTCAACACCTCTTATTTAAGGGTTTTAGGGTATTTATGGTTTTATATTGTATTCTCTCTTATGGTATCTTTCTGTACATCCATGAAAAAGTGCCACGAATAATTTCTAATGAATTGTACAAACTGGATCCACTCCTCCCACTTCCTTAAGTATGTCAGGCCCATGTCTGCACCCCTGGGTTAGTGTCAGAATTGCTGCTGGCTTAGTGCAGAGGAAGAGATCCCATTGTCTGTAGTTTCAAGCCCTCAAAACTTCCTAAGTGTCCTTTATAAAATAAACAAAAAATACAGAAAAGAAATTTGTGTTGCAGCTTGAATAAGAATATAAACAGTGTTAACCTTTAAATGTTTGTCTCTATTAACTATTTGAGGTGTTTTAATATACTACCAAAGATTGATGTGGTTCCTTTTACAAGAAGGTGCAAGGTAGAGATGAACATACCCTCTGCTGAGCACTCCTTCATCCTTTGGAGGTTTTTGTCTGGTAGCTCTTTAAGTTGCACTGATTTCCACATCTTTAATATATTAAGAGGCAGCCATAAAAATCAAATAAGTTTAAAAATAAGTATCACACATTAGAGATTTTTTTTTTACAACTTTATCTTGTACTTACAATTTTAACTTGTATTTATGGATTAAAACTGTGTAGTTAATGAGCATTATTAATTAAACACATTTTCTAAAATCCAAGCGTCTTGCTTCTGTAATTGCTTCCTAGGATGAAATGTTACTGGTCCTGCTTTTTCAAACCTGTGTATTTTACATTAAAACCTACTCTCTTAAAAGCTTTTTTGTTCTTAGATTAAATTTTTTTCAGTGAAGAAGTGTGAAGTAACAGTGGATACTTGCATGGATGTACCTGGACAGCCTCCAGGCCTGTGTGTTGGAGGGGAAAAGTGACTTCAGAGAAGTGAGGGTTAGAACACAGTGAGGAGAAATATTTTCAACTGCTTGATGAGCAAGATTTCTCACTTGAAATATTTTCCTATCTTTGGAGGAAATGTAAGTGGAATACTAATGGAGAATTAATCATGCACCTCTCACTCTGCTTCCTTTACTTTTGGAAACAAGCCACAGCCTCTTATTTCTTCCCCGGGTTTGTTTTCAGGATGGATGTTGATTCCGGTAGAGCTGGAGCTGCTGGCAGAAGGGGCTGATCTGGTGATGTCACTGGAACTTTCCAGTTTAAGGTATTACTTTATTCATCCAACTGCAGGCAAATATTTTTATGTTGCTGCCTTGTGTGTCTCTTTAGTATTAAAGACCTCTCTGCTTCAACATTGGGTAAAGATTTAGAGACATCATTCTGGCTGTAGGGTAGGGTAGCTACAGGTCCAGATTTGAAATTAATAAGGTCCTGACTAAATTTAATAGGTCCTGACTATTGAGATCCATATTTAAAATTGTTGTAAATTTTTCATTCTTCTAAGTTCCTAGTCTATAAAATCAGGGATTCTGTTTTTTTCCATATGCCTTAATTCTGATAGTAGTTGTTAGTATTACTTAGAATAAGCGTTGATGGATCCAGGATTAGGCTTGGATTAAACTGGGCAGTACAAGTTCACAGGAACATGAAAAATTGCATATTGGAATTTTGCAACCATTGATTTTAAGACTTAGTAAAATTTTTGAAATGTCCTTTCATCCCTATATCTGTAGGGATGTATTTATGCTAAATCATGTTGAACAGTTAATTTTAATACTATTTTAAATATTATTTTCACCTGGAGATTTGCTTTATTGAACTTGATTAAATGAGCCCCCTAGTACTTCAAAATCTTCTAAATTGTTTAAATGGATATCAGAGAAGTGCCTACAACTTCGTATCAAAATTAATTTCTGCTGGCATTTCAATGTAAAATTAAAGCATTTGACTTACATGGTGGCAGACTGCAAAGAAATTCCAGACTGAATGAAATGAAAGAATGAAATGTTCCTCTTGGGGTGGGAACAAGCCCTGGCTGATCCCTTCCACACTGGAATGGTGCCCTCAGGCACTATCCAGAAAGGCTGAAGTTTTTTCTGTAACTGAAGCACTTGTCACTTTTATCCATGACGTCTTGTGTATTTTGTGGAAACTTCATGTCCTTGATACACCTCGGAAGCCAGGTGAGATGAGAGCTAAGAGGAGAGTTCTGGTTGTGTTTAGAAGTGCTTGTAGCACCTTGTAAAGGTGCTCACTGCATCTTCCTGGGGAAAGCTTGGGTGCTGCAGGGTGGTCGGTGCAGGGGGTGTGGAGCTGAAGGGGCACTGCCAGCCTCTTGCATGGGCACAGGCATGGACTGCACAGAGGAAGGAAGGAGATGCAGCCCAGGAGAGCACAGGGGAAGAGGAGATGCTGGCCAGGCTGTGGTTGAAGCCACCTGGACAGCTGGAGCCAGGGAGAGCCATGGATTGGTAAGAACAGTTTTTTACTTGAGTGTTACCCTTGTGCTGGTCTGCACCTTCCCAGGGCTGAAGACAGCCACTGGCAGCAGGTGGGGACCGAGCTCTGATGTTCCCCTCACCTTGTGGCCATCACTAATTGCTCTCTGGGCTGCAGCACAATAAGTGCAGGAAGGATTAGTTGGGAATTTCACTTAACAGGGATGAAGGGATGTCTTCTGGGGCTGGCTAATTAACAGGATTTTACTCTAGTAATTAAATAGCAGTTTGTTGAACACAACTTAGTTGATAGCATCTTTGGAAAACATAACAATTAGCAGGCAAGGAACAGCAGCTTTGCCTCAAAAGCCTGTCCCCAACCAGTTGGTGGCTTGGTTTTAACCTTTCCTTCCCCAGCAGAGACAATGTTGACTATTAATTTATTTGGGTTTGCTGCTGTTGTTGGATAGCTTGTTCACCCTCTGCTGTCATAGCAGCTGACTTCCCTGGGGCTTTATCTCATCTGAAGGGGTTTGAGATGTACCACATGTTGCTCTCTCTAGCATTGCCTTCTTAATGCCAGTGCTGGAAGACAGGAGTGTTTGCTGCCAGACAAAAGAATATTTTAATTTTTATATTCTTTCTATGGCAGATTAACCAGAGGGGATGAAATCTAAGAGTTGTCTTAAAACATAAACCTGACAGAGGGAAATTATTGATCCCACACAGCTTATATAAACCCTCTCATCTGCACACACACATGGAAGGGGGAGGTGCCTTCAGTTGGAAATTGTTCCTGTCTTCATCTCTCTACTTCTCCCTGTCTTGTAATGATTCTCTTAGGACAACGAGGATGAGGAAATTAGATTAGACAAACAGTGGGAGATTCCACGGTTTGCTATAAAAGCCACCTCCAATCTTTGCTACACTTTGACAGCTCTCAATTTCTTAATTTGACAAGGTAATGAACACTGGATTATTTCTGAAGCCGTGTGTACCACGCGCAGGGGAACGGGGGCTGTGCTCTGCACAGGACTACCCACCCCAGCAGCTTCCCCCCACCCAGGCCACAGAAGCTCATCCCTGGGAGGGAGGTGGTGTGTGCAGGAGCCAGGGCTGGGAGCTGGGCTGTTAGTGCAGGGCTCTGCAGGATGCTCCCGTGCCAGGAGGCAAGTGGCCCTGCCTCAGGAGCATGTGTCATCTCCAAGAATGCTTTTGACCTCCCCGTGTTTTGCTTGGCTGGGCAGTGCATTGTTTCTTTGCACTCTCCCCGAGGCTGTGCAGACAATGGAATGGGCTGGCCAAGCCAGCCAAGCTAAATAAAGCAGGAGACATCCCGTGGGTACCTCCCAGGCACAGCATTCCTGGAGTGGGCGGGTGGGCATCCATGCACCTGCATGGCTCTTGAGTCCAGCCTGGTGCTCTGCTGCTAGTCAAGGGGCAGGAAAAAGGGCTTTAAATGTGGTGCAGAAACTACCAGCTGTTGGGAGCATGTCAGTGGGAAGTGCAGCAGTCCTGGAGTGTTCTGCATAGTGGTGAGGCCACTATGAAACTAAAAATTTCAGCTTTTACTGCTCCCTCTCCAAACTGCCCATTGCAAAGCAGTGCCTGTGACGTGCTCTGTCTCATGGAGGAACTGGGAGCGTATCCATCAGCACTGAGGCTCCATAAATAAATAAGCACATGGGAGCAGGCTGGAAGTGAAGTAGGTATCATTCATCATGTGAGGGGGCCTGGAGTATGTTCAGCTCATAATGTGTAACAGAGTTATGAACAGGCATGGGATGGATCCCCTTCTTTTTGGATCACGATTCTGTGTAATAAACATGCAAGACAATTTGTATAAAATAGTGAGGATTCTTTCCTAGAGAAGTCATTTAAAGCTATATTTGCACATAAGTGAACAGCTCAGAGGAATGTTTTGTAGTTACATTTCCATACAAGTGTGCAAAGAGAAAACAACCCAGTCAGCAAGTGATGGATGGTACATGTAATCCTGTGCCATGATGTGCCCTCCCTGGGTAATCATATTCCATGGCCTCCCACCATGGAATGCCCATCCTGGCACCCCTGCCTCCCTGCTGGAGCTGTCACAGCCGTGGGGTGGATCATATTGTAAATCCCATCAAAGACAGAAGGGATTTTTCCTTTATGTTTGGTCACAAAATAGGGGGTTTGGAGTAGGAAAATCCTGACCCAAATGCATTAGCATTGTTGGCTCTTAGCAACCTTGCAAAATAATATTTGCCTGTGAAAGGACAGGGTGGCCTGCCAGGCTAACTGGGAGATGATCCTGCATTGTGGCACAAGCACGGTCTGCCTAGAAAGCTTCATGGCTTTTTTTTTTTTTTCACTTTGAAGTAATTTTGGGGAGACTTTTTTGGTTTTCTTTGTGTTTCGTATTTCCCAGCCAGCTTTTTAGTCACTCCCTACATCTACACCCTGCAGCAGCAGCAGCAGTGCCACTCTTCTGGCTCTGTGTCTCAGATCCCCCATGCTCTTGCTGTGACTCTGTGGTGGGGGTCAGCTGGTGACTTTCCTGGAGTTTCTCCCAGGAGGATGCCTGACCACGGGAGCACAGGGCGGCCCCTCTCCATGTTTTCAGAAGCAATCAGGATAAAGTTTCTCCCTCTGGAGTCAAGCTAACTACAAAAATGATGTGAACATCTTCATGGCCCTCATCTCCATCCTCCCTGCTTCTTAGAAAAGAAGTTCTCTCTGCTGATGGTTCTCCTTCCTTGGAAGGCTCTTAAGTTTCTAAAGTTTTTAAGTCATTACCAAAAACTGTCATGTAATCTTTTCAGGGTTTTTTTGTGGCTTTGGTTTTATTTTTATTTTTGGTGGGGTTTTTTTTTGTTTATTTTGTTTGGTTGGTAATAAATTTAAGGCCTCAACAACTCAACAAGAAGGCACCTGCAAAGAGCTGAAAGCAAGCGGATCTCCTTTGAAAGTCTGGCACTGGAGCCGCCATGAGATGGCACTGCGACATCAGGCATGGAGCTGAGCAGCTCCATCCCGCTAGAGTGTGCGAGGAAGTACCTTCCTGGAGGGAGAAAAAATGCCAAGGAAGAGAAAGGACTTATGTAAGGATCATTCTGCTATTAGTCAGGAGGAGCTGTCATGGAGCCCTGTCTGGACTGGACTTTTCCTGCTTATACAAAGCACATAATGCTGTAGGAATTCATGTATAAACAGTGCAAATAAGAGGGGAGGGTGGTTAAATTATGAATAGCAGTAAGGAAATAGATTTTCTTTAACTGTTGCTGGCAAATTTAGAAAGCCTTTGATTTCTGGGGAGTTTCTGAACACAATGGCATGCTAAAAAT